AATACTTTTCCGGTATATACAAGCATGTGAACAAATATGAGAAAACATTTTAATTTGTGTTAACAGCCCCGGAGAGCAGCTTGTGAAGTTACAGTGTTGGCTGAATGCTTTTAAAATTTACTGCCAAAGCAAAGCCTTCTAAGCTTTTCAGTACAGTTACCAGAGGAGAATAGTGGAATTCTGAATGATAAATGTTTCTACATGGCAGGCGGTTTTCATTCATAAATGACAGCGGTCACCCATTAACCTCTAATAACTGGCCAGAATCAGAATATCAATCATGGAAGTATTGCAGTTTAGTTTCCGTCCTAATGACTGCTTTAAGGCTTGAGTGTGTAAATCACTTTGGATTGTCTCCAGTTTATTGCCAAAGCACAATGGTCTTTGGGTTTTTATACTAATGAGTTTGACTCTTCTACCCTTCCACAGCTCTCTCTGTGCAGAGAGCAACCAGCAGGAAATTAAGTCATGAACCGGGACTAAAAACCTCTGTCATACATGTGCTTTATGTCAGTTTAATGCCTTCATCAATTAGGTATCTAAAGGTGTGATTCTTGGTGAGTCAGGTGTTTTTAATTGTAGCTCTGATATACACAAACCTCTTGCACAGCCTTCCATAGTAATCCCAGAAGGTGGCTGGCATTATTATGTTCACCAAGACTGAGTTTTAGAGCCTTCCTCTGTGGAGCCTGCTTCAGAATCCATGGCTCTGTCCACTGTGTTGGCAAATGAACTGATGGCGCTATCAGCAAACAGCAGCCTGAAGCTTCAGCACGCACAAGCTGACCTTGCTTCATTCTGGATACTGGCTGCCAGTCAATATTCCTCTCTGTTGCAACGGGAAATTGTATTTCTGTTGCCTTTCACCACAACCTATTTATGTGAGTCAGGGTTTTCCATTGTGACTGTAACAAAATCAAAGGTAAGGAACAAACTGAAAGCAGGCTACACTCTGCATGTCAGCCTCTCACTCATTTTGCCACGACTTGATCCCATTATTTCCCAGAAGAAAGCCCAAGTGTCTCACAGAGTGTAAGCAGAGTATTTATATTGGTCATTACAGCTGACAGTGGCATAACATATATTTACAGCCAAGATTATTTATTTTGTGTTGTATTTTATGTTTTTTTCCCTCATTTACTGTATGTGACAAGGTGGTCCTCAGAAATATTTTAACAATGAAACATAGGCCTTAAATTACAAAAGGCTGAAAACCCCCTTTCCTAATAAGGTCACAAAATCTTTTGGGTCACAATAATATAAATGTATTTTATACAATCTTTGTCTTTTATTTCTATGAAAACATGCACACTAGGCAGTAACTTAGATTAAGCCACATATAAGGAAGGTGATGGCCAACTGAAAGAATAAATGTTTCCTTTGAGGTCTTTGACAAGTACATCACTTACTTTCTACTGACAGTGCATGTGAGTCTGCATATTTCTCTGTAAGGGTGGGGGTGTTTAAAATCTGAAATATTAATCTGGTGGCTAAAGCTGCCTGGCCTCTATTCCGAGCCAGCAGCTTGCACTCTGAGCTCATTTTGTCATTTTTTGTTCAAAACGCGATGGAGCCAAAGCTTTAAATATCCAGCTGCCAAAACAGTGTATGAAGCTGCTGCATCTTTGCTGGGTCACATATGTTTTTCCTCTGTTTGGCAACTAGATTAGGCCACACATGGCCTGCATTGGCTTTAATTCACTTTAATTAATTCATTTCAACATTTGGAATCACAGGGACTGATTTCACTGAGCACCAGTAGGTTTGAACAATCATAGTCAATGGCTGATAGATTAGCTCTTTGGCAGTGTTATTTACTAGGCATCGGTGACTCTCTCTCTCTCTCCCCGTCTATGTCATTGTCTCTCGCACTTTGTTGAATAAATGTCAATAGACTTCTGGTCACTCACTGAATTGAATTGACTCAGTAAAAGAGATCGCCTGGACAGAGGTGGGGGCAGAGAGCACAAATCAGTTCCCAGGGCCCTTACTGTTGGTATTCAATATGTGCACACACATTCACTCACAGTACACACCAATGTCAGGATATGATTGCTCGTGTATTTTATACTGCACTTTTGTACTGTATATACATGTGGGAGTGCTTCTTGCGCTTCAGTGCATTTGTTTATGGTGACCTGTCAAGAAACAATGATTCATCATAGGGCTGACCTCCTGGTCTTAAACAGTTTTCCCATAGATTAAAAAAATGAATGACATGATATGGAAGTATATCCAACCAAAATGCTTGAGGGTGCACAAACCATGTTTCTAGCACTACTCAGTTCAGAATTTGAGAGCACATAGACACTGATTTGTCTGAGCAGAATCAGATCTGAGGGCGAGGGAGTATCCCTATTGCTTGCTCAAATTATCTGTTACGCTCTCAGATCCGAATCTGCTTTTACAAATCAGTGCCTTCACACTCTCAGATTCTGATTTGTAAACTGAATAGTGCTTAAAACTTGTTTTGTGCACATTCAAAGATTTTGGTGCCAAGTTTCACACAAAACCAGCTCGAAATGTGATTAGTGCACCCTCAAGCTTTACATGTGCTGGTAGGTGGATTTCATTAACTCAGTACAGAGCCAGACTCGTTGTTTTCCTCATTGTCAGTTTTTTTGGCTAAGCTGAAGGAAGTACATCCCTGTTAACACATTCAAAAAATTATGCTTATTCATTTTCTTGCAAAGAGTTAAATTGATACCTCTCTTATATGTATGGTAAATATGAAGTTACGGCCAGTAGCCAGTTAGCTTAACTTAGCCTAAATATCATCACAGAGGAAAAGAGCTAGTCTGATTCCATACCAAGGTAAACAAATACACCTACCAGTATGGAAGCACATCTCTGCCAAAGGTTTTGAAAGCACACAAAACATGTTTTGAATGCTATTCAGTTTGCAAGTCACAATTTGAGAGCGTGCAGACAGACTTTCACACAAAACCCAGTGCTGACATCTGAGAGTGCAGACCCAAACAGGCACATGCATGGCTGTGATCAGTCTCAAATCTGATTCTGCACTTACAAATATGTGCCTACACTCTCTCAAATGCTGAGTTACAAACTAAGTAGTGCTTGAAATGTGATTTGTGCCCCCTCAAACATTTTAGTGGATGTGTACTTCTCAGTACAGAGTCAGGGTAGCTGTGTTGATCTTTAGGCTAAGCTAAGCTAATTGGCTGCTGGCCATAGCCTCATATTTACCATACAAAAATGAGAGTGGTATTGATCTAACTCTCTGCAAGAAAGTAAATAAGTGTATTTCTTTGAATGTGTGTGTGTGAAAATGTTTTTTCCCAATCTTACTGAAACAACTCTCTGCTCACAGCACTGTCTTTGTTGACTTTAAATTCTTGTTATTCAGCAATAGCATTCTTATTACTTTTTGTAGATCCATGAAGTCATTACCTCAGCCTTACTACAGAGTTAATCATTGCATCATGAGGACAAATAATCGCTTCTTGTCTCAGGTGCCAGTATTACTCATGGTGGAGTTGTTTTTGCAACTGAGAAATGTGCTCTTGGGATGTGTGGTGTTTTGATTGTTCCCAGGGGGAATGCATCACCCTGCCTGCATACAGGGAGATGCTTTTCTTCTCCTAAGCATTCAACAAACTCAAAAACAGAGTTTTATCATGTGAAACTGGCAAGCTCAACACCTGCCTCATATGCGAAATGCCATATGGCGATGTTTGTGTTACACTGTGTGAGTTCAGCTATCTCAGCAGGAGGCCACAGTGTGATGGTGGTGAGCTGCTGTTACTGTATGTGATTCACTTCATATTTGTTGCCTGTACAAATGACATGCAGTGAACACCACTGTAAGGTGTTTATCTGTTCCAGTGTTCTGCAGATCTACACAGATACACTGAAAATTGCTTTCTGCTTTATCTGTTTTCAGCATGTTTTCCAGCCTGTGGCAACTCCAACACTTTCTAATGATGACACAATAGTCCACATTGTGCAGCTGATAAAAATGGCTGATTACTGCAATGAGACACCCTGTCACTGTAATTTACACAGATCCGACACTCCCACTCTGACTGCTGCTCAACCATGTTAATGCCTGAGCAAATGTCTCTGGCAATCAAACCCAGAAAGCCTAATTTAATCAACACGCACACTTCCACACAAATAATCCCACACTGTGATATTTATTCCTAACAACAATATATGTACTTGACATTTATTGTTCCTCTGTGTGTGTAATTATGCAGTTGTCTCAGTGTCATTGAATCAGTGAGAAGGACTTTACTGTAAGTTATCATTTCAGCTGCTGTCTCATTGAAAGGATGATGAGAAGCTACAGATGTAAGACTAAAGTTTGTTGGAAGTTTTGATAGGATAGTGAAGAAGGGAAAGTTGGGGTCTGGAGATTCTCCTTTGATGATGATGATGTGTGGTGGGTACCAGGTGTGGGTATAATTCCAGCATAAAATATCTGTGAATACAATATATCTAAACAACTGTTGGCTGGACTGTCCTAAAGGTTTGCACATTAATTGTTCCGAGAACAAGAATGATCTCCTGACTTTTCATCTGTCACCAGGAGCTTGACATTTGTGGTTTTTGGGTGAAATATCCACTGTCATGAAATTTAGTGTAGTGTAGAGATTAATATGCATAAATTTCTAATGATCCCAGGAATTTTTTATCTAGCACCATCACCGTGTCAGAGCTATTAAACTGTCCAAAATATTTATGATCATATTCCTGTAAAACCAATGACTTTCCCATCGGCCTCAGGTGAACTGTGGTTAGTGCCAATGTTGCATTCGATTCTTTTTACCACGCTAACTCTGAGAGACGAAGCAGTCCAAGTAACTTCAAAACAGTGCTAATTTATTCAATGAACACAGGTAAAAATTAACATTACACGCTCAGATATCTTATCCCCTGTGATCTTTTAGAATATTTTATCTGTGTCCTTTATTAAACTGCCCGTGTCTTTATATTCCTTTCTCACCAAATTCACCAGACATGTCCTGCAGCCAGCACTACCTGCCTCCAGAGACAAATTGTCTTTCCCTCCTGGCCCCTCCCTGCCAGTGGACAGCTCACTACAACTCCTGTTTACCCCATTCAGCTACATCAGTAGCCACCTTATTCTGAATTTATTCTGCCTTAGTTGTTTGTCTCCTTAGATCTTTCATTTAAAGAAAAAAGATATTGTGCCCAGTGTGCTCAGTTGTGTAGGGGTGCTTAAACTTTTCGTTCTGCAGAAAGGTCATCTGCAGCACAACACAGCTATGTAATCCGCATTTGCCAGTAAACCAAACCAAATCTGCAGCTCTGCAAACACAGTCAACAGGGTCAAAGTTCAGCTGATCTTAGCTAAGCAATGTCAATGGATATTGGAGGACAAAAATATAGCGACACCTCTGAATATAATGTTGTCTAATACAACACCACCTTTAAATATGACCTCAGTAATAAACATATGATTGAATTTATACATTTATGACAATTTCATCTAAAACTGAAACATTTTGAGCTTCAGAAACACAGATATTATGGTGGAAGTGTTGCTTTGAAGTGCATACAGTTGTACAGGTGTAACTAAAGAAGTGCCTGTGAGTGCAAACATTAAGCCATTTTATCTAAATTTCACACAATACAGCATTAACAAGACTGCACATATTTGTCTTTGTGTGTGAGTGGTAAACACATGTCCACACTAACATGACACTTTGAAAGGTAGTCAGAGGTTCATTAACATGTTTGTCCCTTATCCACAGTTGTTCTTTTCAATGTCACCCACTTCTGCATTATTCATTCCATCGCTTTACCTCCAACATTTTTGAGAGCGAACACTCAGAGCTCTGCAACAAATCTTATAAATTCTCTAATTATTATTCATACAGTCTCTGTCTACTTGCCCTTCCTCCCTTTCTGTCTTTTACACATACTCATACAGTAGTTATATGGAGATATCCTGCTTTCAAGAATACACACACACTTGTATGCAAACACTTTTTTCTTCCATTTCTCTCTGATCAGCACCACACAGCTCTGCAGGAAGGAGATAAAGTGTATTCTTCTTCTGCATTCCCCCCTGCTAGGGAAGATGGAAAAAAGAGCGTACAGTTAATCTTGAAGTACAAACAAAGACGTGCCAGTGATTTAGTGCCCATGCAACAGCATCACTTCTGCTGCTTGGATTTATAGTAAGTGTGTGTTTGACTGACTAAGGAGGCTGAGTGTCCCTCTGACCTCCACAGGCCATAAAGAAGAATGAAGGGTGTGACAGGTTGTGTGATGGAAGAGATAAAAGTAAAAGTGAGGAATGGAGGGAGGCTGTGGTCCCAACTGTAAGTGACATCTGATAAGTAGAATCAGACAGCTGACAGTGAAGAAGTGGTTTGGAGAAATGTGTCATTTACTGGAGCATGATGTGCACATTTACTGTTTTGTGCTCCTCCTACTGAGATGATGTCATATATATTAGTTTATTAGGCTTTATTTGTATAATTCATGCAGGACTGGAAGAGACAGGTTTAACATAGATTAAGAGCCACTAACGCCAGCAGGGCACCCCTCTGTAAACTGTGTGATGTAATTTTCTCCTCATGGGAGCAGCATTAGTGGAAGATGTATAATGATTCAGCAGCTAAGACAGCAGTTAATGGTAATAGCCCAGGAGAGCCTTCCATAGCCCAACAGGCTCATCGCGATGTGTGCGCCCTCGTGTGGCGGGTAGGTGAAGCGCGGACGCCGCGGGGGGTTTAAATGCCCCAACTGAGGAGGAGCTGCTCACAGTACGAAGGAGCTCTACACCGGGAAAAGTTTACCTCCAACTATTACACTTGGCTTAAAAGAGGGAGAAACAGCAGAGATGGCGACTGAAGCGCGGCAGCTGCCCCATCTCCACCTGGCTGAGCTCACCGCATCGCAGTTCCTGGACATCTGGAAACATTTTGACGCAGACGGTCAGTGCGCAGTGTCCACCAGCCTGATAGGAACGGGACAAATAGTTCAATCATTAGTGTTTAATAGAAGCTAAATTTTGACTTGTGGAACAAAAATGATTCACTGTATTACAACAGTTTTGTTACCATGTGCATCTTCTTCTTCCACTGAAGCGCTTAGCACCGATGCAGATGTTACAGTAGCTATAGTGTATTACTAAATGCTAAAAAAACGAGTTCATCTGAATCAAATACCAGCTGTCAGTTTGATTTCAGTTTTGAATTTTTACTTCTAAAATACTTCGTAGTAAAACTGTTCATTAGTTAGAGTTGAATGCTTTTACTTAGGTCCTATAACATCATTATGTTATGATTTGCTACAAATGTGTCAGAGCTTCCACAGTGCTGAGAGAAATTTAATAAGACTCTAGTTATAGGGAGGAGGCTGGAAAAGGGGGTAAAGAGAGAGGAAAGATAAGTGAGAGAGGAGGGAGGATGAAAAATGAAAGGAATGAGAGCGTGAAAGGGGGGAAGCAAAGATGACAGGATGAGAGAGAGAGAGAGAGAGGCGGGGAGAGAGTGTGAAAAGATGAAGGAGGAGAGGATGCCAGTGTTTTGGGAGTTTACTGGAAGGAGCTCCTCATTTTGAAAGCTTAAACTGGAGGGATGTGTATGTGAGTGTACATGTCTATCTGTAGTTGTGTGGACACATTTTAGTTATAAACCATCATTGTGAGGACATTTTGGCCCATCCTGGCCTTTCAGGGTAAGGGTCTGTGGTTAGTTGTGATTGTCAGTGAGTGTCCTCAGAACTATAGTGAGACAAGCATATGTGTGTGTGTGCTGGTAACAGCACATAGGCAGTGGTGCCAGATGTTTTACAACTAGCAATGCCACATAGTCAATATTTTACTGCAGTAAAAGTATGTAACTATTTAAGTATAGAAAGTAAAAGCATTATGCAGGTAGGCCTGGTTATGGATGATTGTTACTGACACATTAACATATTTGAGCAGCCAGTTAGTGACGTAATGGGTTCTGGTGGAGCTGGACCTATATTTTTAACGCAATCAGGTGTCATGATCTGTGGCACTTCCTGTGAGGAACCTTTACTCTGGGGTGGCTGTGGTTCAGGAGCAGGCAGAGCACGTTGTCTCATAACTGGAGGGCTGATCCCCAGCTTCTGCAGTTCACATGTCAAAGTGTCCTTGGGCAAGACACTGTACCCCAGGTGCTCCCAATGGCCACTGGTGTGTGTGAAGGGGCTATATCTTAACCCACTTAAGTGTGTAGAAAACCTATATATATGTAAGTCTGTTTATTTTGGTCCATTTCTGCTTCCAATTTGGCCCTCATGCATGCAGCTGTTTCCTGTCAGCCTAATTAAGTGATTCAGTATTTAAGTCCCCAGTCAACATTTGTTCCTCACCGGTTTTTCCTCGTACCACCCCCTTCTATTTGTCACTCCAGCCAGATTAACTTGCCGTGCTCTGCTTCTTTATACTCTACTAGTTACTGACCTGCTTTACTATGAACTTCACTTTTGCCCATTCCCTGCCTCCACCTGGCTCTCAGAGTATGACCTCTGCTTCCCCACAGTCTGGTCAGTAGCCTGCTTCCTGTCTGTTTGGTGCTGCCATGACACCTGTAAAGTGACTGATTTATGTCTTATCTGAAGTTTCTTGTAGATGACCCTGAGTTCTGCTGGCCTGGAGTTATTTGTAATATTTCTGACTTACAGTATTCTTACCTCCATCCAAAGTCTTCATAACCTGAAGGTACCTGTGAAGCCATGACCTGTTCATACACTTACCAAAGCTCATCTGAAGTTACTGATCCTGAGTTGTTGTTTTAAAATTAATTTTATGTCCTACTATTTGCCTGAGTTTATTTGTGTGTATGTTTTTCTTGCCTGCATCACCATCTGTTCATGTCTCTACATCTTTGCCAGTAAGGATTGTGTTTTTGTTACCAGTCATTACAGTCACCATATCATTAATCTGTTTATCATTAAATCATTATTTCCATTTCACTGTAACCTCCTTAGCCATCGTCTGCATCTGGGTTCAAAGACTAGAATCTTTACAGTTAAGTAGTTAAATACACAACAATTAGAGCTAAAATGATTAGTCTCTTAATCGGTTGAATATTTTTGGAGATTTAACTGTTGTTCAGACAGAACAAACTATCGTAGACATAATCTCATTCAACGTAAACATTTGTTTTCAGGGGATATGTTGCTGACAGATGCTGGCAAAGATAATGTCACGGCAACAGGTTTCTGGCTGTGACTACTTTGTATGGACTGCAGTAAAAACTAAGACAGAACAAGTTTGTATTTGAAGAACAAAACACCTTTTCCTCTTGACCATACAAATAAATTCAAGTGAGCAGCTCATCCAACTGAAGAGTGATATTACAGAACGTAGAAACATGTGGATAGTGGAAATATTCGGTCAGCTTTTGGAAGTGAGTCTTGGGCATCATCTTTTTTGTTGTTTTCCATCATTAGGGTAGAAAGATGGACTGTTTTTGAGGTACTGTTGCACAATCTGAGCTGATTACTGTTTGAAAATACTCTTAAGAGGGACAGGGCTGCATCTGCTCACTGTGCAGTGGTGCGCTTCATGTGGCAGCTGAGATTTGTATTGCAACCAAACTGACAGCGAGCCCCAGCGAACTGAGAACATGGTTACTTATGTGGGCTTTATCACAAGCCATGGGACTTGAACGGAATCATACTGCATCGTTTGTTTTCTTTCCCAAATGAGAGACTCTGTATTGCCTATCTCATGTTTCAGTTGTGTAGTACATCAGTCAATTATGTAACAGCAAAACGCACTAGAGTAAACGGAGCACATCATTTGTCATTTAGGCAATTCATTTAAGCTTTGGTTGATTCAAACCTTTGCAGGGAATAAGATTTTGTTCAAATTAGAAATCATAGGAGACCATACTGTAACTGTACAAGCTAGCAAATGAAAGTCAGTCAGGATGTACGTTGTATGTCCCATTACCTGCACTGTAGGTACACGAGTAGAAAATGGGCATCAAAAATAACTTCCCTCATTTTGGCATTTCCATTTTCTTGAAGGACAATAAAAACACATTCAGATCCATAAATGGTCGAGGCAGTTGGCCTTGATGCCTCAGTATGATTTTTGTTGTGATTTGTTGCTATACAAATTGAGTTGAACTGAATTACACACTATTTGCTTTAGCTGAGTGCAGGTCCTACTCTGCAGTGCTCCCCACCTCTGTGCTGACACCATTATACCCAATACGTTGTGCACATTCCTCTGCTTGCATGCATTTTGTCACACTTGATCACATTTTTTGTCACATTGGATCTGACTAAACCCCACTGTGCAGACCCAGCTGCAAAGAGTCAGCCAAGCATGGAGGATGCAGCACTGACTAACATAATTGTTGCTTTCAGTAACACTGAGTGAGTGTTACTGAGCCCCTCGGCGGTCACAGTGGAGAAAAATAAAAATATTTCTTTAAAAGTTTTGTTTGATAAGTTTAAGTGAACCGACCCTCCCCTCCTCCACTCCACCATTGATAGTACTGGGTAGACTGACAAGGAAAGGCACACACATTCATGTCCTCAAGAGAACAAACGAAAACCAATAACCGTCCCATCAGCCTCAGGTGTACACTGTGTACTAATTGACTGCTGGCTTGGCTAGGTCTCCCTTAAAAAATAAAAATTAGCAGGATCACTTATTAGCTTAACTATTCATACCAGCACAGTGGTTAGTGCTGTTGTCCCACAACAAGAAGATTCCAGGTTCCAGCCCCGGCCGACATGGGGCCTTTCTGTGTGCAGTTTGCATGTTCTTCCTGTGCCTGCATGGGTTCTCTCCAGATCCTACAGTCCAAAGACATGTTGATTGGTGACTCTAAGTTGCCCGTAGGAGTGTGTGTGGTTGTTTGTCTACATGTCAGTCCTGTGATAGACTGGCGACCTGTCCAGGGTGGACCCTGCCTCTTGCCCAATGTCAGCTGGGATTGGCTCCAGTCCCCTGTGACCCTATTCAGGAATAAGTGGTATAGATTATGGATGGAACTATTCATACCATGTATGAGCATTTCATTGATGGAATTTCTTGCTGATTTCACAGTTTTTTCAGATAGAGTTCAATAGAGAATTTGATTTGATTGACTAAAAGGGGCGATCCACTTATAATTTGGATGCTAACTGTTGGTAAGATAATACTTAGCAATTAATATCTGAATGATAAAGTAAAATAAAACTGAAGATGGATAAGAGTTTATGTGATGTCTTGTTGTATTGCTTTGTTTCTATGCCCAGAGCTTTGTGCTCCAAAGCACAGATGGTGACATGGATCAAATACATGAGACTATATGAGGAGATGGGAGGAAGAGGGGAAGTCAGAGAGAGAATGATCGGAAGGGAAAGGAGATGAGAGGATCAGAGGTTAAGAGATGAAGAGTGGAGCTGGGTGAATCTGCACTTTATGCTGTACTTTATGTTTTGATCTGAATTGAAAACAATTTAGAAACATATATTTTGTATGATAAAAGTCATAAGCCCTCAATCCCTTGCTTGGACTGTAGACAGAGGAGACTCATTCTTATGATCAAAAAGAGAGCAATGAGTGTCCTGTATGTTCTCCCATGACTTGTAGGCAAACCAGTGGAGTAAATTATTGCGTTAAGTTATCTCCAGCCATGTGACTGTCATAAGCAGTACAAATCCAGACACAAAGACAGAATGCTCCAGTAAGCATCAATCTGGCTGCCCACTTTCATCCTCTTAGGCAAGAAGTCACTCATTATACTGGTTACGCTCCAGCTGCACTGGACTCTTGTAGTCTGTGGTTTTTGCCTGCCGCAGCCCATCACTGAATTTCCAGAGTGTCTGCCACAGATAAATGTCAATTTGGCATGAATGCAGGATAATCTGTAGACCCAGGCTTGTTGTTTTGTGCCATGCCTTCACTTCATCAAAGTGAGTTTTTAGTTGTGTAGAGATAACATGATATTTCCCAGACTTCACTGAGGACATGGACATCGATGAGTCAGAACTGTAAAAAACTGATAACTTGGATTCAGTCACAGAGGACTTGAGGCTGGACTTGTACTTGGGTTTTGGTGACTGGTCCAAAATTTAAAACCCCCCAGCAACTTTTGATCTTCGATCAGCATCCTAGTCTTTAATCAGACTCTTGAACAGTCAACAAAGCTTCAGGGGTATTAAAACTTTAATTACATCATTTGTACCAGACTAATTTAGTTCCTCTGGCGCTCCTCCACAGGAAACGGTTACATCGAGGGAACGGAGCTGGAGGACTTCTTCAAAGAGCTGGAGACTGCAAGACGAGGAGCAGGCGTGGTGAGTGCAGCACATCATGAGTGAATAGAATGTCACATTGTGTTAAACTTTCACCGGTACATTTGTATGCTGCAGAACTGTTTACCACTTAATTTTTGATGGGAACAAATAAGTGCTGCCTGAACACTGGATGTCCACTGATAGCATTTTCTCAAATGTAGAACGTAGACTATTTGTGTACTGAAAGCCAGGTGTAAAAAGCCAACTTTCCTTTATTTTAGCAAAGTACCATAAAGTCCTAAATATAAGCAACTGAAATATGTTGTCTGTGAATGTTGCTAATAGATATAAATATAGGATAGAGTTTCCTCGTGGTGTTAATATGAAACGTGGCCTTGCATTTCATACAAAACTCAGGTTGCTGTTGCATTAGATGTATGTAAATGTAATTTGTAGGAGACAGGGCTGGATTAGTCAACATTACAAACAATGTTGAATATATTCTGTATATGTAAATCAAAGCCTGCATTATCCTATGTCGGTTTGATCTGTGACTGCAGGATCCTTCACATGCTGGGTTCAAAGAAAACATGAAGGAGTTCATGGCCAATTTTGACAAGAATGCTGATGGGAGAATAGAGCTGTCAGAGGTGAGAGAATAAATAAAATACAAGTCTCTCTGAGGCATATAGTAACGTATAGTGGTCCAGTTGTTAATATACACCAGCGGGTCAGCTCCAGCCTCTGCTCTTGTCTGTATCTTCACTGATAAAGTCAACATTATCAAAAGATTGTCTTAAAAACATAGCAACTGTTAAAATAAAGCTTATATTTCTAATGTTTCCTGTATTTATAGATTCAAATTTGAATAAAAAACAATGAATATTAGTGTCTTTATCTTTCAGCTGGCTCAGATTCTGCCTGCAGAGGAAAACTTCCTGCTCTGTTTCAGAGAATTTGTGCAATCCAGTTCTGAATTCATGGCCGTAAGCTTCTATATATTCATCTGTGTATTTTTTTATTTTATTTATGCCTCATGACATGCAGTGAATGCTCATTATACGGTATATTAGCACTGCTCTGTCAGACTCTCACACTCACTTATGATGACTCAATTTAGTGATTGGAAAGAATTTGGATTTGACTTGTACTATATGTTTTGGAGGGACAGTTGTTCAGTGACAAACTAGTAATCTTCACTGGGCTGTGAAATTTCAGCACATTTATTATAAGTTTAGTTACTAGATACTTTTCAGAACCAGATTAATACAAACATACACTACATATATATATATAAGATCTAGTTGTTCTGTGATGAAAATTCACAAGCGTAATTCAAATTAGATGCATACAGTATAAGCAAGTTAAAACAAGCCCTTCCCTTTACCGGCCTCAACATTAAATGTGATGTACACAGTAATGCATCACCAATTATAATACAACAATATGACATACAGAAATGTGAAATGTTCTGTTCTGCATAATGAGTACTTTTACTTTTAGTACTTTAAGTATGTTTTGATGCTAATACTTTTGTACTTTTACCTAATTCAACATTTTGAATGCAGGACTTTTACTTGTAACAGAGTATTTTTACACTTTTGTATTGCTACTTTTACTTAAGTAAAGGATCTGAGCACTTTTTCCACCACTGCTGGTGGGACACATGTTCAGCTGCCCCATGATTCCTTTTGTTTCCTTGTCAAGTTAAAATGCATGTGTCATGTGGAAACAGTTTAGTAAGGGTATAAAATGTTCATTTAAAGCCTGGATGCTCTGTCTAGGACTTAAACGCTTACAAAGTGCTGTACATTGTACTGAAAACAGCATTGTGTTGACATTTAAAGGTGTATTCATAAATCATTGATGTAAATTCTCTTAATGAACCTACAGTAAATTAAAGTTCATACTATACATAAATTAGCATTGTAAGATTCTAACCTTTGCTGTTGTTAGAAGCACAATTATACAACCTCTCTGCTTCAGTTGCATGTGTTGAAATAATTAGAGAGAAACTAGTGAGGCATCAGACATCTGTTGCCTTTGTGATTGAAAATGACTTGCACGTACTCACACGTGGCTGGGCTTTCAGTGGTGTGTCGTTCAGGCTGCTCTGTGTGCCGTAGCTATTCTCAGACAGCCATACATTATGAATGGACCACAGCTTTCTGCAGGGGAAAGGCAAGCAGCACTGGAGGGGTTAGGTGTTCATCTTTTTATAAGGGCTTTGACAAATTATTTACACAGTTTCAGATGACACCCTTGTACCACTGTCATTTCATTTTATTGTCATTGTTTTCTGCCAATTAAATGTGTATTTTTCACTTACTACACGTTTTATGAAAGCTACTACAACATTGTCACTCTTCTTCTACAGGCCTGGCGGAAGTATGACACTGACCGGAGTGGATACATTGAGTCAAATGAACTGAAGGTAAAACACAATATGGCCAAACTCTGACCAAAAAAAAATCAAATTAAAACTGATTCATTCACTGCTGCCCTGACAAAACTGCAGAAACATGAACACTTACTGTTCTTCACTCTGAGCCATGACACTTAGTTTCTGCCTTAGATATATAAAAAAGCCACCAGTCAGAATAATTATAGTGAGTAATTTGTATGAAGACACTGATGTCTAATATGTTTTTAAAAAATATATACTTACAGTATGTACATATTATTCACGTATGTCTGCTTTTTTTTTCATAACGTGTGGATGTATAATTTGAAAACCACAGATAAAACAGTAAATATACGCACACTGTCCGAATGACTGTGTAGTAATGATTGTAAACAATGATGTGATGTTTCTATGTCAGGCTGGTCGAGTAACGTGTCTGCTGAGGAAGCTGCTCTGCATGTACATGTGCACATTATGCACTCCACTGAACATTCTCACTGTCTTGTGAAAAACAATACCACATATCACCTTTAATAATAAATACTCCACTTCACATCCTGAGCTCTGTACAAAGACATCATTTAGATGTCATTTATTTTCAACATAACTTTTTTCTAAGAGACCATGTATATAATATTAAACATAAATGTTTCCATTTGATGTATTTGACCAGAATTAGCTTAAAGCTAATTTTCATGCTGCTAATTACATGCATTATATCATCTTATCATTGACCATCATGTTTTTTTCTCTGTTCAGAGCTTCCTGTCTGACCTGCTGAAGAAAGCTAACAGAAGCTATGATGACAAGAAGCTCAATGAGTACACACAGACAATTGTGAGTATCATTTGACAAGAATATGTTTTTACTTCTTCAAACTCCACTGTTTGATGGCAAGACAAAAGTCAGGCTATTGATTGCAGAAAATCCAACATATTTTTTCTATTTATCCATTGTGTACTAACATTACAATGATACCTCCTTTTCATTGAAATAAATTGCATTACAAAAAGACTATACTGTAGTTTATAACTGAAACTTTATCTTCACCTGCAAACATGTTCTTGGGCTTTGAAATTCTCAGAAAGTCTAAGAGATAAGGTGAAATTTCACCATTTCTGTGTAATGTTAACATCTATGCACAACATCAAAGCCTTCATGCCCAGTTCAGAAAGTAACACTCGCTGCTAAATAATGCAACTGAAACAACACCCCTAAAGGTTTGAATTTTAATATTCTGGACACCATATGCCTCATATAGAACCCTGAGACATCGGTTTTCTGTCCACCAGCATCAGTCAACCATGTGTGAGCTGAACACAGTAACAGCTGCATTAAATTTCACTTTAATGGCTGTATAATATGCATGCACATGTACAGTACATGATGCTATTTATTTACAGATTCCAGATAAATTCCCTGTTAATCTTCTTTATGTGCAGCTGAGGATGTTTGATCTTAATGGAGACGGTAAGCTGGGCCTCTCTGAGATGGCAAGGTGAGTGTAACTTCAGTTAGTCAGTTTAAAATGATAATTTTCAAAGGATGATGAGATGAAAATGATGAGTTGGAACTTACTTGGTGT